CCGTCCACCCATAAATACATCCATATCCATCCGTCCATCATGCATCCATCCATACATACACACACACCCATGCAACCCTGCATACATCGGTCGTGAGATGATCACGTCGGTTACTATGCGGTAATATGTATGTATGCATGCATGTATGTACCCACGTATGTACATCTGTGTCATGTATGAGGGCGCATGTTTGCTTGCATGCTTGCATGTACGTGCCCGAACCGGCTTACCTTAATCCCGAGCCTACAAGCTTTTCTTGGCAACGAAGCACCAAGTTGTGCGAGCTCTTCTTTTCGCAGGACGGGCGTGAGCATGCCTCGCCGTTGCATGACTGGGGAGACGAGATTCCGGAGTCCTTGCTGTAGTTACTTCAAGTAGACTCCCCGCTTTGATGACTGGGATGATTCTCCGGATGCAATGTGCTTCAAAGGTTTCCCATCAATAGCATCAGCCGTGTTGTTGGCAGCCACGAGATGCACACGGGATCTCGATAGCTTTGAAGCCTTTCGAGGATAAACGTGCCACGAATACACGCGAAGCCAAGGAAGAGCTTCCGGACTTCCCTGCCGTTCTCAAGCTGCACCAAGGATGCTTTATGTGAGTCTTTGTGCGCCGGCGGCTCTAGGCTATAAGAATTGGCCACTCGACAGCTGGATTGCCAGGGCGCTCATGCTCACGCGGCTTATCCGACATGTGACATAAACGACGGTACAACCGTGCAGGCAGCTCGGTTCGGCCAATGAAGTGGAACAGGCTTCTGAGCGGAGATGAAGCATTCAAGCATAGAGACGTTCGGAACAGTTGCCAATTTTGTGGAAGATGTTGTGAGACCTTGGCATCTGTCATGGTTCAACCCTCCCGTTCTTAGGTGAAGGTCCGTGTCTAATTCACAGACTAGGGGCTTCCAGCCCCTTTCCAGAGAACGAGCGCTGAAGTTCCTGGCCTAACGCCGCGTTGTGCTTTCGTGTGTTCCTTGGAATTTCTTGGGTGGAAGGTTGTCACGACACCTCCTTGCGAGGCGGGTGGTCATGATTCTGGATGACAGGCTGCAGTTTTCGGAACTCTCGTGGTTGGGGCTGACAGGCGGCACAGGCGGCTTCTTTCCGTGTAACTGAAGCTGAGGGTGTGGCTTCATTGAAAGCAGGGGGTAAGTTCTGCAAAACACCTGCAACTCGGCGCTAGGAAGTTTGGCAAATCCTTTTCGTGTCAACCCTGAACACCCCCGCCCTTTTTGCCGAGAGTGTGACCCAAGATCATGAGGTGCGTTGGGTAGTGTACAGAAAAGGGAACATACTCTGCTTGAAGGAGGTCTTGTTTTGTTTCAGGGGAAACTTCTTGCGGTGGTCAACCTTTAAGCAGTGAACGGTCTCGGGCTGCTGGCAACACTGCACCGACACCTATTTGCGATGCTGAACAGCTTGCTGGCTTCATTGCATCGGAGAACAGCCCATGAGTGAAAGAGGCAGGACGGATGGGAGCATGAGAAAAGACTGACAGTGGTGCCGGAGCCCAATACTCTGGGAGCCTAGGAGGGTGCAATGCTTCCTACCTGGAGCCAGTGGTGGATGGGCTTTACAACTTGGGCCTGGGCCTGTGAGCATGCCACAAGAAAGCAGAGCTTTACAACGACACTGCTGCCAGAACAAACGAAGGCAACATTCAACGGAGCATGCCGTATCGCCAGAGGCTTACCATCTACAATGGTGCATACTTATGAAGTTGTGCATGGCTGAAGTCTTGCTGTGAACCATTTGATGCCCTTCCATGGCTGAAGCCACATTCAAAATCGCAAACTCGACAGCTGGCCTGAACATAAGTCCGTGCATTATCTAGCAACCCAGCTCTCGTTCAATTATTTGGGCCACACGCCCCTGGCACGTGTGGGCGGTCCTATGAAGCTTGCATCATGGTTCAAGGTAGGGTCAGGCTTGCCGAGTTCGTGTATCTTGCCTTTCACTGGATTGCGGAGAGTGTGGGAAAGTTTGCCGATCCGCCCAGTCTTACTGTTGCCTCAGGCTGTGTTTCAGCTTTTGCTATAGTTCATGGTTGTATACACTTGTTCCAGGGGCACTTGCCGATGTGAGGGCTGGCCAGCTAGGAGACAGTCCATCGAGTCATCACTTGTTGTGGTGAAGACAACACAGCAACGAGGGACCTCGGACAAGCCCACTGCAGTTCTGAAGACATGTTCCACATTCTTGAGCGTGCATTTTTTTCGAAACACACTCTTCCAACCCAAAATACTTTTTGGCGAGCGACGAGCAGGTGGCCATCGAGATTCCAGAGGAGGTCTGCGCGCACCACGAGGTGCGAGAGGCACCTTTCGCTCTTCGCTTGCATGGTGGTTCAAAAGCCACATCATCTCTTAGAGTGACGGGTCGATGATCTAGATCCTGTGTGATCTGTGCGTGTGTGCTTGCATGGAGAGATGTACGGAGGGGCTGGATGGACGGATGGATGGATGGACGGACGGACGGAGGCATGCATGCACGGGTGAACGGACGAAGGGATGGATGGCTGGCTGGCTGGCTGGCTGGCTGGCTGGATGGATGGATGGATGGATGGATGGAGAAGACTGCATGCTTGCACGCTTGCATGCTTGCATGCTTGCATGGATGGACGGATGGATGCATGGATGGATGGTCTGACCACTCAGCAGATGCCGGTCAGCCGAAGGACTTCACAAGCACGTATGACCCTGCGAAGGTGTCACGCTGCATGAAACCCAGATTGAAGATCGAGGACTTCTGCGAAGCTGAGCATGAGCATTTCCGAAACACAGGTTTCCAGTGTCGTCAGCCAGCCTAGAGCCTGCAAGCTTACAATGCTTTGTTGCTGCGATCTCCCAGAAACAGCTACATGTTCTTGTGGATCATTCCTGTCGTACCGTCACAGAGCAACAGAAGCCCGTCCATGGCACCAATCCGAATCCGAGTTTCGTCGTAGCCATGTGGAGCCCAAGCATGTTGCGAATTTGCTGCTAGTTGAGTAATGCGTCGTCGCATGTAAAGGCAGCTGGAGCCCGGTATCTTTCAGATGCGACGACAACCTGAACCATCCCGTTTCAGTGCTTGTAGGAAGGCCTCAAGCACGGTCGACCTTATAAAGGTCAGTGTGCTGAAGCCCTGTGAAACGAGACCTGGTAAACAACAACGCTCCCTGCTGATGGCGGCAGGAGCCCCCCGAAGAGGTGGACTCTGACATCGATTCGCCCTTCACTCTCGGCAAACCCTGAGGGTCGGTGTCGCACAGGTAGCTTGAAGGTAGGCTTTTTTTCCTCAGAAGCTCCCGATGTACAAGCTCTCGGGGCCAGAAGTCTGTAGGCAGAGCAGCGAATCCAGTGTGCAGTTGAAACTTAACCTCAAAAAAGGTGCAAAAGATGTGCGTTGAGATTGCGAATCCAGGATTTCGGAAGAAGTGAAACAAAGAGGAGAAAGCGAAAACATAATAAACCAACAAGAAACCAAGAAGCGAGAGCAACACGGCAGCAACGACTAGCTGCTTTTAGCATGTTACGCGGCACAGATCTCTTGGATCTGGGCTCATGCTTTCGACGCTTCTGTACAGGGGTGCTCGTATTCAGACCGTGAAGTGAATTGCACCTACTACTACCCCGGTGATGGTCCTCTAATGATATGGACCTTCAAGTCTAAAGCTGTTGCATAGCTCTTCATGAAGCGTGCACCTATTTTGCACTTTGATTACGCTTGCCTCTCACTTCTTTCCTCACTTCTCTCACTGATTTGGCATTTGATGCTATTCACATCCTGCCCGGGTACACTCTCTGGCACGCTGCACGCTTGGTTTCTTCTCCGCTTTCAGCGCACTGCTGATGATGCACCTCCTCTTCGGAAACAGCCAGGTCGTTGCAACTGTAAGGCTTCAGAGGGTGCAAGTGTGTGAAGGGCAAGCCGCATCAGGCGAAAAATCATGTCCGGTTCTTAAACACTCCCCCTAAACCCTAAGACTCTAAACACTAAAACCCCAGTGTTTCTCAAGCCTCAGTGCTAAACTCCTCGGTGAGAAGGTCTCTAAGCCAATCCTGAGCCCCAACTTGCTGAGCTTCTCATGCACGGACCCTCGGGGAAGAAGCCTTTGTAGGGCTGCATACCTCGAAGACGAAAACCTGAGGAACGACCTGCAAAATGAGCTAAGTCTGGCTATGGCGACTATGGGGTTTCTACCCTTATTTCTCCAACGGACCTACAACTCCAGCAACCCCTCAGAATAGCCGAAAAACCGACTCTTGAGAGGATGGCAGCCCTAGAAAGGCGGAATGTAGTCAGCCTTGCACGGTCATCCCGACAGGATCCCAGTGTAGCGAAGCGTTCCCCGCGCCTCTAAACCTTCGACCGTCAGCGCCGAACCTGGTTTTGAAAAGCTTCGGAGGGAGACTCCGAATGTCGAGCATGCCGCATGTACGAGAAGCCGAAGATCCAAAGCTGGCTGGAAAGGTAAGAAGATCATGACCATGATTTCCCTATTGAGGTGCACTTAAGACTTAAGACGTTTGGTTGGTTTTCCTCGGGTAGCGTTTCGGCAGAGACGCAGATGGTCATTGCCTGCTACAAGCTGACAGAACCGCTGAGACCTCACGAAAGCCCAACACTACAACTGCCGAGCCCCACTCCGACAAGTGCATTGTCAGATCACACGGCCGACGACTAGGTAACGCAGATTGAAACCTCTGCTCGACTGAGCCTCTCCTGTGCAGCGAGAATTTGAAAACGCGGCGGCACATTAGCTGCAAGCGGTGCTTGAAAAATCAGGATGGTGTGGAGTTGGGTGGAAGGGCTTTCGGTTCAGTTGTGAAGAGACCCCCTAGCTGCACTGCGAAGAGCCATGATGCCGGCCTGAAGAAGCTTCAGCATTCCCTGACGGCATCATGAGAGTAGGAATTAACCTCGTCTTGATGACCTGCACAGTTGCAAAGCATATCTGCCCCGCCCAGAAAACTGAAGCACTGAAGCTAGACAAGCTGGCTTTGTACCGACTTGAAGGTGCTCCTGGAGACTGGGAAGCTTCGCGTGTGTGACGTGCAGAATTTCTACACGGCGGGGGCTTTCTCGCTAGCCGGGAGAAGCCAACAGCATGTTATGGTTCTGTCAGGTGATGACTCAGGGTGCAGGGCGAGTTCCTTCCAAGCGATGCGCACGATCATGCCGAATCATTTGACAACGATTTCGGTATCCAGCATCTAGCATAGATACTGCGCTTTGCCGTTGCCCAACAGCTCACCGTTCTGCTGTCAGTACTCTTCTTCTCCTGGGGGGTTTCACATTTTGCGGATGTCATGGGTTTCATGGGTTGTTAGGAGTATGACTTCCGGGATGCTCCTGTCTGGCCGAAAAGCTGGACGTTAGACGGCGGCAATGGTGCATGAGTACTTATGCCGAACCTGGTATAAGAACATGCTGCATCAAGAGCAGACGGTGTGCCGTGAGACCGCCGCTTGGGGCACCACAATGGGTGCAGGCACTTCTGCAGAGCATCCAGAGCTCGCGCGCACTCGCCGAACTGAATCTCAACAATGCCCATGCCTCAGGGCAGACTTACTTCAGGACGTTCCTTATCCGGTCGGTTAATGGCCGAAAAGCCCTTGTAATCTGCTCTGGTTGCCTCAGGCTGTGTTTCAGCTTTTGCTACAGTTCATGGTGGTATACACTTGTTCCAGGGGCACTTGCCGATGTGAGGACAGGCCAGCTAGGAGACAGTCCATCGAGTCATCACTTGTTATGGTGAAGACAACACAGCAACGAGGGACCTCGGACAAGCCCACTGCAGTTCTGAAGATGTTTGGAGAAGTTACAGACCCAGCAGAACAACCATCCTGGTGAAGGCTAAGCGAAGGACGGTCGCAGAAGGTGTACAAAGATGAAGAAGAGCAACAGGCAAGACAGCTAAGAGAGTGAAAGATCGCGGAGGCAAGCCTCATTCCATCTGTGTATATCCTCGGAGAAGTCCCTGACTCTCACACACACCCCGGGCTCTGCACATGAGATTGATTGCAAACTCGAGGCGGAACGACACATACTGTATACCTGAAAGACCTCATTCCCAACTACACACTTGCCAAGGATGCGAGCGCTGTGTACTACGGGGTCCTCTGGCTGGATCCGTCGGACTGGTCGGGAGAGTGCAGCGTAGGAAGTGGAGGTATGGATGCCTAACTCGGATTTTCGGAACATGCTTGGAAGCTGCTGGGCTCACCATGATTTACCGAGCGTGTTGTTATGATGGTAAGGCTTGTCCGATACCGCCACAGCTGAGCTGAAACCTGCCAATCCAGACGGCAGCCCGTGTCGAAGCAACGCATGTGGACAGGGCATCATTGACATAAAATCAGCAGACTAGCAACGGAGGTTTCAAATAGTTCGACGCAAAGCATCGATAAGGTCAGACATCCAGTTACAATGGATGTGCAGCTCTACTCCTGCATTATCCTGCATTGAGGGCATGACAGCTCTTTCCACGCATGATCTCCAAGCTTCACACTGCCATCACGACGTTACAAACACCGCAACAAAAGATCAGGACGTGCTGCATTGAAGGCTGCCGTAGTGAAATCCATCCAGCTTCAACACGTCCATTCACGTCCTAGAGTAGTGCCATATTTGATGTCTGCCCCTACTACCGCAGATAGCGGTGCAGCATGTAGCACCTGGTAAGTCGCTGCAGGATGCTGTGCGGTTGGCAACGCCTCGTTTGCAGACTGTAGCCCAACGCAACGATACCTGCCTTGGTTCAATGATTCGCCTTTCGTGCGTTGTGCTGTTCAAGGTGTGCAAATCAAGCCGTGGGACGGCATGATGACGTTGTTGAAAAAATGAGCAGGCTACATCTATTTAACAAGAGTAGAAACTTCTCGTTCCGCAGGACTGGTCCGGCATCCCGCTGTCCGCAACGGGCATCAATTGGGAGGCATCTCTTGAATTACATGATAAACCAGAAGCTTAGAGAAAGCCTGAGACCCTCAAGCTTAAAGCTTACATCTTACAAACACTTAGTCGCAATCAGATTTCGCTGGACCAGACGCATGGAGGTTTAGGTTCAACGAACCAAGACAAGATTCCATCTCTGGGCTGAATCACATAATGTGTAGGCTTCTGCTGCGACTGAGAGCGACGCATTTGGACACAAGCTGTAGAAATTGGGAATGCTTCTGATAGAGATAGAGGCAGGCCCTGATATGCCCTGATGAGTTCCTGCTTCAAGCAGAAGCCACTGTCCGATGTCGATGTAAGTTTGCTGATGAAGTGAGTCGACACTGCGCAGTTCCGAAAATTCACCGCACACGACCCATGCGCGGAGGTTCAGAGCTTCTGGCGATTCACCGAGTACTTGCCGCCAGCAGTCAAAAGCTCGGGAGCAATCATAGTCCGAAGAACAACGGACATGGCCCAGCCAGTAGCATCACCAAATGTGGCAATGCTCCGAGTCCATGTCACGGCAACAACCATGCGAATTGGGATCAGGCCTGCCATTCTGGAAACTCGAATCTAGAAGCATGCTCATGTTAGCTTCAGCGATTTGAATCTGAGGACTGCATGCAGGGATTGCCCATGGGCGAGCGGAGTCTTTTTCGAGAGCTTTTGGCAAGACATTCGAGGATCCCAGGAGCTTTGGTGGAAACAGCTGCGCAGTTTGCTTAGGTCGCGGACGGTGTGCAGAGCTTCGCTTCAAACCTTCTGCTGGAGCACGGCCCTTGGGGTTCCTCCAGAAAATCAGAGTACGAAGGATAGATTTGAGATACTTGTGTCAGGGCATGAAGCCTGTCCGGCAGTTGTGCCAGAATTCGAACTGCTAGAGTACGACGGTCGGTGTTGATGTTGTTTGCTGTTGGTACATCATGCCGAACAAAACCCGCAGACATCCGGACTTGGTGTTTGCAGAAACAGAGTGCGGCCGCGAGGTGCTTCAAGGTAAGTTCGTAGCGCCGATGCTGATCGTGAAAGGAACCGGCAAAGCGTGCATAGTGCCTTAATCTGGCGGCAGAAAGTTCATTCCAACAGGCAAGAAAGGCCTCAGTGCCAACATCGCACACGAATGCAGCCATACCATCTCAACACTTCAGAACGCATCATGGCTCGACAAGATGTATAAAGAGTGCACAAATGAGCACTGGCCCCAACCAATGCAAACTATGCACGTAGGTCGACCCTGGACATATTGAAGAGATTGCATACCCCGAGGCCACAGAAACGCCTCGGCGAGCGTCTCGGATTGCTTGACAATGACAACTCCTCGGAGGCAGGTTCTGCTACAACCATGTCGCTGTAGGTGATACAGGGGCTTCTTGCAGTGGCCTTCTTCCGATACAATAAGCACCATGGGCTCTGCTACCCTTGTGGTGTGGTCGGCCACTTCTGCGATAAGGTTTGCTCACATTGCAGCTTCGTGTCGAATGCAACTGATGTTAGCATCCGACCCTGGATTGTGTTACATGGCACTGCACGTCGTTCTTTGCTGGTCGGATGTAGGGTAGAGTCGTTGGAACGTATTCGGATGATGGGTGTGGGTTCTGAAACTGCTGGGCTATGTGGTCCTAGAAGAAATCTCGCCACACGGCTATGAAGCTGCTCGGTTTCTGGAGAAGATCACTTTGAAGCTTGACATGGGCCCAAGATCCGAAACAACACTCAGATCAATAGCATCTCGAAGTGAGCGCTCGTGCTACCAGCGTCTAATAGTCTAATCGTCGTCGTGGCAGTGGTACAACTCAAAACGCACATGATTGCTGCATTGTTGCTCTCTTCTTGTTATTGTTGTTGTTGTCGAGTCCACCTGTGTCACAAGTACCTGAGAAAGCATGCCGACAATAAGAAACTCGTCGGATCAAGCCCTGAGGCACGACATCATCAGCCTGGTCATGCCTGGTCATTTTCGTCAGCATCATCATCGCTATCACCATCACCACCATCATTGTCGTCAACATCATCATCATCATCGACATCTGTCGATGGTACCACACTTAGACTCTCCTTCCCAGCCCTGGGGACAGGTAACCGGTGCCAAGAAATTCTGTGAAATTTTGTCAATGCAAAGTGCATGCATAGGTAACTCTCCAGCTTCCAACCGCGTACATACACAAAGGTATGGCGAAGCAGAAACCTCTCTAATTCCAGCAGCTCGCACCAGGCAAAACTTCACAGTCAGATCACTTGCGACCAAAAGCTTGAGCATTGTTGTCATGCTTCCTTGCTTTTGCACACCGCGAACAGCCTTTGCAAGCGGTGCCAAGTCTGCTTACCCTGTCAAAGTCGCAGAAGTAGCCGGGTCGTCGTAGTCGTAGTAGTAATGGTAGCAGTAGCGGTAGTGGCAGTTTTTGTTGTTGTTCTAACCGGTGGTGGCGGTGGCGGTGGTAGCAGTAGCAGTAGCAGCAGCAGGAGTAGGAGTAGGAGTAGTAGTAGCAGAAGAAGAGTCATAGTATGTCGTAGTAGCAGCCGTCGTCGTAAGTACTCGTAGTGGACATGCTGCTGGAAGCCACAGTCTCAGTCACGGCCCGCATCCGTCATCTCTGGCCAGGCACCGCCAGACGTGCCAATGGATGAAACAGAGCTGGACGCCAAGGAGGGGAGTGTCCCAGGTGCATCTTCAACATGGTTGTTTCCCGAATTCATTCGTTATGTGGGCAAGTCAGCCGTTACGTGGCCAGGCTGGTTTTGCCATGCGAGCCAAGAGGTGAAACTCGATAGTGTTTGGTGAATAGCACTCGAATCTTGAAGCATAGCTGAGACATTGATAGGATTTATGTGTAACAGGACCCGACAGCCATGGACGATGACGATGACGAGGAGCAGGGCGAGTGCGCACAGCGGAGGCAGCTGCCGCAGTGTTAATCTACATCTAGCTGGCGATGAATGGCACCGCTCGTGTGATCATCATCAGAGCATGCTAATGCAGAATCAGGCTTGCTCATACAGATGTTGTGTACTTCAGAGTGCATGATGTATGATTTTGTCAGACATCTTGCCTAGTCAATCCCCGCAATAAAGGAAAAATAGTGTAAAACATCGAGAGTCTTGATTTTTCAGATGTAGGAAACAAATACTAGCAACAGCTAAAAATCATAGGCGCATCAGGAAGCAAACTGGAAATAAGGGTATTAACACGGGACAATCGATAGGTACATAAATGAACAGAACAACAGTATAACTGTTCGAAAACAGAGACAATTTAGGGGACAATAGAAGGAACTGTGCCAGTTAGTATGAGACCTAGAAACAAACAGCAAGCACACTACAGGAAATTCATGGGAAGTCGACGCTGTTCCTGGTTCGTCTGGTTTTTTGATGCTTTCCGGCAAGGCACACATCGGACTTCAGGAGACTGATCGGAAATCAACAGAATAAATTGTGCGGCAGATGGGAGGTAGAATAAAATCAAGAGAAAACTTTAACAAATCGTCGGGAAACAAGCCAAGACCCGTTGCATCGACCGACAGGATTGTCATGTCGAGGTCAACATGAGGGCAAGGCACCATACCTACAGCGCCATGCACCGATCGAACCCACCAAGGACCTCAGTTTGCTACCAAATCCAAGGAGGAACAGTCACAACACCAACATGCGCAGCGCCATTTATGAAGGCGTGGCGACTGCCACTAAGTATGGACCATGCGCCAAAATCTTTTAGATTAATTCCCGAGACAAGAGCCGACCTTGCGGAAACCTAAGGGCCAACCTCTCGAAGTCTTCACATCATGCCATGCAACCTCACGACAGCCGAAGCGACAACCTCACAGTGTCACATCGACATGATGGCATCATGCCATCCACAACTACCTGCATGGCGGACACCCTTCGCCAGGCTTTCGGGAACAAGGGGAAAACGGAAGACCAGGGTTGTGTTCTATTTCCAACAGCTTTCGTGCATGTTCGTACGTTGTTTGCTTTGCTTGCTATGTGTCTCTCTCTCTCTCTCTCTCTCTCTCTCTTTTCCCATAGTTCCTGACATCCTATGCTATTCGCATTCTTCACCTAGAATGGGATTTGGGGTTTCTCTCGGATTAGCATTGTTGAAACACACATAAGCGCAGAGCCGCGCGCAGACCCGATGTGGTCAACGAAGACAGAATCAAGTCTGCAATAGTTGCGGAGCACGTTGTATCGCCATCATACTGCATCTTCTGAAACTTTTGTGTCCCCCTGCTTGTTTGAATGATTCAGATGCATTGTCGCGTTGGTTCAGTATCCTCGAACTGTTGTTCTCCAAGCTTCTGAACCCTTTGAAGCCTTGCGTCGGCATATTGCGGCCAGGGATGTGGACATGGAGCCAGCCGAGCCCTCCAAAGAGGTACTTCCAATCAGTATATGGGCGTTGAGTGTTGCGCGGAAACTTTCGGATATGGCTTGGGATCTGGCCTTCGTTTTAAGGCATCCTTGCTCAACATCTCCAGCTGGTAATCGGCCAGTCGGCATGTCAAGACGGACATGGTATTCATGGCCAGTCTCAAGTTGAAAATGCAGCAAGCAGCTGAGATCACGAGGATGTTAGTAGGTCTCAACATCCACGCCTTGGCATCATACAACGGCAGCACTGCATGTGAGATCCCCTAGACCATGTAGCACAATGTCGAACACCATCTTGACAATGAATTCTGAAGTGATGGATGCTACTTGCGTGCCTCTTCTGTCGGCCAACCTGTGTTGGCAGGTCTAGCTGTCGTTCGTCAAGACTTCATCCATGCTAGCTTCGTTCTTGCAGATTGGCATTAAATCTCAAGGGGTGCCTTTTTCGTGACCACTATTGTGTTGCTTCTGTGGCCATGTTCTTTTTTGGGGGTCGCGTCCTTGTTTGGCAGTTAGTAGTAGTAGTAGTAGTAGTAGTAGTAGTAGTAGTAGTAGTAGTAGTAGTAGTAGTTGTAGTAGTAGTAGTAGTTGTCGAAGTGGTAGTAGTAGCAGTAGCAGCAGCAGTAGCAGCAGCGGTAGGAGTAAGAGTAGGAGTAGTAGTAGTAGTAGTAGTAGTAGTAGTAGTAGTAGTAGTAGTAAGTAATGGTAATGGTGGTACTAGTAATAGTAATGGTAATAGTAATAGAAACAGCAACAGTAATGGTTATTGTTATAATACTAGTAGGAGTAAGAGTAATAATAGTTAGAGTAATAACAATCAAAAACAGTAGCAGTAGTAGTGAGAGTATTAGCACTAGTACTTACTAGTACTACTGCTGCTACAATCACTACTACTACTACTACTACTACTACTACTACTACTACTACTACGACTACTACTACTACTACTACTACTACTCCTACTGCTACTGCTCCTGCTCCTGCTCCTGCTCCTGCTACTACTACTAGTACTGCTACTACTACTACTACAACTACTACTACTACTACGACCACTACTACTGCTACTGCTACTGCTACTACTACTACTACTACTACTACTACTACTGCTAGTGCTAGTGCTTCCGCTACTACTACTACTACTTCTAGGAGGACTACTACTCCTACTACTACTACTACCACCACCACTACTACTGCTACTGCTACTGCTACTGCTACTGCTACTGCTACTACTACTACTACTACTACTACTATTACTACCGCTGCTGCTACTACTACTACTACTGCTACTACTACTACTACTACTACTACTACTACTACTATTACTACTACTGTTTCTGTTGCTGTTGCCACAGAAATTCTCCAATCATCGTCGACGACTGGGCGTGATTGATCGGTGTTCTCGTGGCCACGACTGCGAGGAACAGGCATCCAGTGACAAGCAGACCGCCCAAGCACTCGAGGACGTGCCCAACTGTGGACATGCTGGGTGCTGAAGCCTACCTTCTTCGGGATCCGATCTAGACACATCTCTGAGGAGCAGACAAGTTTGTATCGCAACAGTGCGGTGTGCACTCTCCGTGGGCCTTGCTTGGTGTGATAGCTGGAGTGCATCCTGAGATAAGATTCCGAACAGTGCATCCTTTGCAGCTTTGCAGTCTGACCCTAGTTTGCAGTGGCCGATTTTGGAAAGTGGCTGTAAGAACTTGAGGGTGGTGTGAGGAGCTCACCACTTGGATCAAGGAAGTTTGGTTCGAGGACTGGCAGTGGGAGAAAGTATCGTCTTGGCCTGAGAGTTGAGGCAGCCTTCAGTTTCCACACCTCAAACGTACTGAGTTCAGACACAATGCTCAAGATGTTCTTTTGCATGCTAGCTTCAGGTCCAGATCGGTGTATTGGAGTCATCCTTCACAGCTTGCTCCACTTATGGGCTACCACGCTCTGTCGAATCCACGAAGTGCATGCCCACATGCTCACAGGGTCTCAGAGCAAAGTCGGGACATATTCCAGTCACAAGCAATGTCCTGAGCCTTTCATTCAACAGCCCAGTGTCGGGTTTGCGGGCTTGCGACAAGAGCTCCCTTCTTTTTTGTAGTGCCAGGCTGCATTCCGTGCATTCCGTGCTTTGGCTTGGAATGCCTCAGATTCGGCTGTTAAGAATTCAAGGCTTCGCCCTGGTTCAAGTCACATTTGAGGGGCCTGTCTCATGCTGTGGGCCACGAGGATTTGGGATTTGAAATCCTTCAGAGGCAGCAAGTTGCAAGTTCTTCAAGATTCACGGTCTGCGATAGCATACGCATTGTCAACGAAGAGTCAAGCAAGCTGCACAGGAACACAGAGGAACACCAAAGACCAAACCCCCAAAAGAAAGAGGCCGGTGTGAAACTCGAGGGTCAAGTCAAGAAACTGACTAAGAAGACCCCAAGCAACTTCACTTCAACAGATGTCAACGGCAGCACGAATGAGAACCGCCCCATTTCTGGACAGAAGCATGAGCATGCTACTCGTAAAGGTCGTAACATCCAGAATATTGCTGAGGCTGGAACCTAGCAGAAAGATGCGCGGAATTTATTCAAAATCCGCTAATGCGAGATGCGTAGCACAGCTGCCAGGAGCAGCGTGGAACCATGCTGACATATGTGGCTGAGCTGCAGGCCGGGCTGTTTCCTCAAAAACTATTGACATGTCGGGGACAGCAGACAAATTAAGATAGCGTCGAGTCGCTCGCGGCGGGATGCCATCCACAAGCCTTCAGCCAAGCCTCATGTCTTACGTAGCTCCACCACAGCTGCCTGACCCGGAAAGTCTTGAAACCACCCCTAAGCGCAGACCTGCTCTCAGATGAAGCGCCAAAAAGACCTGCAACGTGACGCGGAAGACCTTGCCGGAGGCCGGTTCCTGCTGCACGATTAGTATGACGATGAAGAAGACGAAGACGAGACGGTCGTCATCATCATCATCATCACCATCATCATGAACAACTTTTCCTATCGGTGATGCTGTGCGTGTTGTTAGACCCGTAATGCCTATGGTGACCGGTTTGAGTGGCACACCATGCTTTGATGCAGTATTTCTTCGTAGTTATTCTCTAGAGAATGCAATAACACTACAGGGACCACGAGGGGCTCGCGCGTTTCTGCATCTCCCGCTGTGCCGCGACCAGTCGCGGAAGGGCCGCGTCCCGCCCGGGACCCCGATTCGTTGTAAAATGCTCTCGAACTTGATGAGTCGAACTACGTTTGGCCTTTTCCCGAAGGCGCTCAAGTTCCAGCGCCATTCGGCCCTCAGGCTTCTTCGTGTGGTCTCGAAATGTCTCGAACCACACCATGCTCAGGGGCGTTGAAGATGTCGAGTGTTGGCAATCGTGCTGCGGCCACACCTTTCCCACCACTTCTGCCTCAAGATAGCGTTCTCCCGCCAGAGTCCCATGATGTCATAGTTTGGGGGCTGGGTTACCTTCCCGCCACCCCGCCGTGTGGGTCCTGGCCGGGGGTGCTTATCGTGTGCCGTAGATAGCCTGGGAGTAGCCTGGGGATGCTCCTAGATGGTTCTTGGGTAAAGCTTGGCCTGTTAGGTTCTTTCTCAAAGTTCGGGGTCTACCCAGGCATACTAGCTAGCGTCTTCATGTGTAGGAGTTCGAAGGAGTTGCTTATGTTCGTGCTGCGGTGCAACGCTGTGTTGGTTGCTGCTGTGTTGAAGACCTTTATGATTGAAGCGTTTACAACCACTGCCACCTCCTGTCTCTTGTATTTGTGGCGGAAACAATCCTTTCGGGACTCTTGGGTCTGGTAAGACTGGTCTTGCACCTTCGTCCTACGAGGCTTCTATCAGTTTCCAATACGTATCAACTTGTTCGTTTATCGTCCAGCAACTTGAAACCCAACTGGGAGTTAGGACCATTTTGCCAGAAGTCAGTCTTCCCGTGCAGCACTCCTCTGGTAGCGAAAGTATTGAAAATTTAGCACTGCTAAGAATTCGTAGTGCCACTGAGCTATCAGCTCCTGTAGTCTTGATGTGCCTGGCAGCATAGCAGCTGCATTGAGAACGTAAGCAGTGGTGTGCTTGCGGTCATGATGGCGTATGTTTGCTGCGTGCTAGCTCTGCTTGAAATTACTACAGCCGATGTCATCTACCATTGTTGGCTCATGTTGTTTCATGCTGAGCAACGACTCATGCGAAAACTGATGCGTGTTCGTGTGGTTCAGCCACGGATCAATCAGAGCACGTGAGACAACCAGCGCTTCGATTCACTGTTGTGCTGCTTTTCGGCCACTTCGTGGATGGAAGCTTGGATGGCAGTGCCCTTTCAATGTCCATGCCTAGGGCTATGTTTTTTGCTGGCCGTCGTTGTTGGTGTTGTCATCCCCTAGTTGTCTTTTCATTGTAGTTAGCTTTCAATTGCCTTGGCATACGAGGGCTAAGAGTTGCCAGGATTGGACAGCGAAGAAGAAGACGAGCCAGATCTTGGCAACGACAGCGAGGCTGTTGCACATGAGCTGTCACGAACAAGCCGAGGAACTGCAGTCATCAGCGATAGCGGTGGAACGAAAATCGACAGGAACAGTCAAGGCACGAAATGGAAGCAACGGTAAACCTGTAATCAGGGAAGTAGTAGTAGTAGTAGTAGTAGTCGTAGTAGTAGTAGTAGCAGCAGCAGCAGTAGTAGTAGTAGTCGTAGTCGTAGTCGTAGTCGTAGTAGTAGTAGTAGTAGTAGTAGTAGGAGTAGTAGTAGTAGTAGTAGTAGTAGTTGCAGCAGCAGCACAGGACGTATTGCTCACTTCATTGCAGCACTGAGCATGACAGTGACACGTGCAGCCCAAGTCATAGTCAATCAGCGCAGTTGCAAAGCGACTATCAAGCACAGGCATGACAAAGCTACAATCATACAATTGCTGTCGTGAAACTTGCATGTAACAGCGAAACCTAGTAACCTAGTGGCAATGAGGGGGAGGAGTTCTCCGTGCTCAGGTATCAGGGCAGCTGTAGAGCTAGGGAGATTCTCTCGACGACATTTCTGGCTGCCCGCGCAAGGATCCTCATGCTGCCACCATCCGGAGGCAAGAGCGCCTCAGGCCGGCAAGCACGTACAACACGAGGGTCTGGGAGTTCGACGCCTTGCAAGTTGGTTGATCGTTTCGAAGCCGATGGCCTCCATGGTGCTGAGGAGTTGCCGGAAGCCTCACATGATTTAAAAAAGACAGAGACATGTTCTTGTTTGGTCCCGACAACTATCTTTGGCATTGTCGTTCAGAGTGACATGTCCTCCTAAGGTAATCAGTGTACAACTGAGTATGGCGGCGGCTGCTGCTGCTGCTGCTGCTGCTAGTACTGCTGCTGCTGCTGCTGCTAGTAATGCTGCTGCTGCTGCTACTACTACGACTACTACTACTACTACTACTACCACTACTGCTACTGCTACTGCTACTACTACTAATACGACGACGACTACTACGGCTACTACAACAGCTACTAAGCTAGTTCTCATGCTATCATCCGATTCCTCCAAGGGCTGAACTCCCATATGCCCAGCCACACCAGCTTGTAGTGTTGCTTTTGATGAGAGGGTGCATCGAGCCTCAATGCCGAGCTGCGGCCTCCTTGGCCAACTTCCCAGGCGCCGGATCGAGCAGCGATGGGCCTTCCCCGACGTGCCGGGAAGGCGCTTCCATGAGCAGCTCGTATTCTGCCTCCAGTAGCCTGAGCCCGAAAGCTCAGATTCAGCAACAGGAACCTTGAGAAAGGGGTTTGGAGAAAGAGTTAGAGTGGCGGGGCGTGCGGCTTTTAGCTCTTGTCATTTATGCATGCTGTTCGATTCAAGCTAGTCCGATGTCATACCTCTGCTTTCATGAATGATCTCGAAATAGGGGTCTCTGGCAGGACTTCTTCGGGTTGTATCTCGTCAGTGTTGACATGCCCACATTGATTTTGGACAGGGGTCGCAGCAAACACAGTCCCTTTCAGCCGGCTGACGTGAAGTCTTGTGATCGTTGCGGCCAGTGTGTCAGGGTCCTTATGTCGGGAAACAGCCCGTTAGCGAGTGCTGGTCGTTGTTTGTGTTCGCCGTGGGTCCAAGTCGATGCATCGCGCGGCATGCGGCTTGGTGCCGATACTGTTCATGATTTCTGTGTGCACATTATCTGAGACCTCGCAAAGTGCCGACAAGAACACCAGCCCGAGTGGTGAGTTGAGCACCCGGAGACACACAAAAGATTGGCCGACAAGCTGAGCCGGCAGCATAAGATGACCGACACATCAAGCAGGAGATCGACGCGAACACGACCACTCTTGGACCAGTCTCGAAAGACCGATCGGATCCTGCTCGTGGCTCAAGTCGGTCAATCGAATCGTTGCGCCGCTGTGTTTCTTCTGCGATGTCCAAGCATTCCATCAGGTGTAATTGGCTCGGTATGTCGGTCGGTGTCCCAGTCATTCTTTCTGGACATTTCCTGTTTGCAGCATTGCGGAGAAAAACACTCGAAGCAGATGGCAGAAGCAGTCGAACCAGAACAGCCGCAACAGTGTTGTACACCGTCTCCGACTTTCATTCCAACTGTTCAAGCGCGCTGATCAACTCCTCTCCCATACCTTCGTTGGAGCTGTGAGGAGGGCACCACCTGGCGCCATCGATTTCGAGGCCTTGCGTGCGGTGACCTCAGTAGCCTTCGACTTGAGGTCGGCTGCAGGGTTTCCAATAGGGTCATGATGGCGAGTTTTGCAAGCCGTGTGCATGAGCTAACCTACAGCATTCCGGCACTCGTGCGTTCAGCAACGTGTCCTGTAGCTGCCATGTTCCGGAAAGGAGTTTTGCAAGCCGTGTGTTGCCCGTGCCGACTCTTCGGGAAGCCGTCGAGTCAAGCATGTCCGTAGTATTGATGACAGCCTGGTAGAGAACATACAGAGTCCATGCCACATCCAGAAAAACTGCAGCATGTGAGACCCCAGTGAGCGATGAGGCTATTATCCAGGTCTACAAGCTGGAGGACAGCATCTTAGACCAGGTCGGATATGTCCTCGTGTTCGTGCACTGGATAAGCTGCCTTCCCAGACGCGGCCGTTATGTGACAACACTTTACTTTGCATGACGGGTAGAGTCAGAAGTAACGGTGCCATTGAGAGCACGATTAAAGGTTAAGGCCAGAGTCACATGATCTCCTGCCATCCCGGAGCATCTTTGGCCCTCCTTTGCTCGAGACGGCCTCAGATGCCGTCACAGAAGTTGCTGAAGTGTGGTGTAAGTAGCAGTAGTGAAAGTTAAGGTCTGTGATGCACGTGATCGGGTTCGACATTCTTGCTTCGCCTTGTTCCAGACCTTCTGCATGTCCTTCCTTGATCTGTTGAAACCGTGAGCTACCATGCCCATCCGGATCTTGAGCATCCGAACCTGTTCGAATAGTGCAGGTGGAGCAGCTGCGAGACCTGATGTGTCAGAAGCTACGGGCGTGGGCCTCTACTGAGACAACCCGAGCTGCCCCTGCAAACACCCGAGACATGTGCCTTGCGTGCATGTGAACTGGTGCACGTATCGGCAGTTGAATGTTAGCAAGCCGAGTATCTTCCACGACGAGTAGAAAATAGCTGACGTCTTTGCCTGGATGCATTCGACAGAGCCTGAATTCGAGACGCTCGGCGTGCTTCTCAAGGGCATTTCTTCGTGTTGTCCAATTGTAAATGCTTCGCATCGTCCGCCTTGGCCGCTGCAGGTGAAGAGTGGCAGGGATGAGTAAAGCGGCGCAATGGCAAGGGTGGGGCGAGGGAAAGCTAAATGGCGTCGCTGGGGGAGGGGAAAGAAGAGGGCAAACAGGGTCCCTGTGCGGGGAACCTTTGACCGCTTCGGACAGGCCGAGGCGAAAGCCTTGTTAGAGCAGAAGGTTGTGGCGGGGTGGGCGAGCTCATGCCGTGGCAAACTGAGCCGGCGGAACATCGGGTGTTCGCTTCAGGCCAAAAAGCTTGGCTCGCAGAATCAAACCCGTACCAACTCACGAGACATCCACACTATCAACAACCAGCAACCGCAAAGACTGATGAAGTACCGTCTTGAGGCCCCCAAACCAGCATTGAAGTCAAGACCCACATTGCACTCAAGTCGTGAGATAGGCGTGGCACTTTTGAGTGAGGCTCAAATGGTAGGAGCCGAACGCGATGTTCCACATGTCAGAGTAGGGTGATGAAGGTGACAGGCTCTCCTCTACTGTCTTCAGCGCGTCCGCTGCGGTCTTTTTCGGCAACTCTCGATCGCCCAAAAACTCGTGGGATATCCACTGCTTCTGTTTGTCGTCATGGTTCCGTGACAAGTCCCGCTGCAGCGGACGTTCTGGCAACTGCTGTGTGCTGCTGTGCTGTATTGTGGGACCAACAGTTCGGAACTCTAGGGCAACATTTCCGACATGAGCTTGGTAGACGTACTTCTATGACAGGATGACTGACTGATTGTTGTCTCTCTGCTGAGGTGAGCTCCTTCCAGCAGGGTCTCGACTTCGAGAAGCCCTGCTTCCCTCTGATCCTTCGCGACGTTACTTGCGACAGGTGCATGTTGCAGCTTTTGCTGTGAAGCTCAAAGATTTAGGGCTTGAGAGTACGGTTAGGTGGAGGCTTGCAACTAGTTCTATTAAACCTTTAAATACGTACATTGAGTGTCCAATGGGAAATCAGTAGAATTGGGGACAATGCAAAATAGGAAATGAATAGGAAACATTGCACGAGAAGTATCTGTGCGACTAAAGCTTGCTGAAACCACACCAGCAACGCCGATGCGCCTAGAACATCTCTAGTAGCATGAACATATCAACGAGCAAGAGAAAACATTCCAAAAACAACAACCTCCTTAAAGGCTCGAAGATCGAAGTGACGAACCGAGCATGTCTCGGAAACGGAGCAACAGCCCCCCATTCTCCATTGCCAGTGAAATCTGCGATTCTTGCTATCGACAGCTTCTCGGGGCTAAAACCAGTTAATTGAGGGGAACAGAGAGCTAGAGGCTGGAAGCTTGTAGGTGATAGATCCCAGTATGCCAGCGAGAAGTTGCGAGGCTCATTGTGACTGTACAGGTCTTCACAACGTATTATGGGATGTGGCACGTCATTGAGAGGTGCGTCTATGCGGAGCTAGGAATCCAGACCCCGATATTCTGAAGCCTCAAGCTTGACATCCGCCGACAGGTGCTGCGTCGCTAGACACCTGGATGTCACATCGCACCCCCATCGCGCCCCGGGACTCTGGGCCCACCGCTCAGAATCCTTGGGCTTGGGTTGAGATGTCTTAGACCCTAAGAAAGGTCACGAGATGGGGTCTCCTTAGCAGGCTGGACCAGGCGTTGAGTTGGCGGATTTGAGGTTGGTCGCGTGAGATGCGAACAGTAAGGTTTACTGTAGGTCTGAAAATGCATGTAGGGTATGCAGCTGAGGATACAGGGTAGTAAGTTTGAGGCTATGGGCAGGGGTCCAGCACATGTCGGCGGCCAATCTCAGAAAACCAAGAGTTAAAGGGAAAGCTTCGCAATGTTTGCCGAAGTTTCGCTGCAGAATCGGTGTCCGAAACCATCTGGGATGTCCGCATTTGCTATCGGATGGGTATAAGATGAGCTGGAGGCTCGTACAGTCGCCGCCAAACGAAATACCCCAACGAGATGCCATGTGGCAACCCCACACTCCTGGTAAGAGTTCCTCGCTTCGGTCTTGAAGGTCTTCGCATTCTTCAGCATACTGATTGTTACTAGCAAGGTCCGTTGCAGCCTGTGCTTGAGTTATCTGCTTACATGACGTTGTAGAGCCGCTGAGTCATGCATTACATTTTCAGCTGTGCGTGCTTGCTTCTGTCCCGCTCACGCGCCGCCTAAATTACGACTCGCATTCTCAGGTGTGCGAGAACTGCAACGGTGTGTACAACAAGGCATCCTCATGGATTAACAGGAGCAGCAGGTGTATCTGTTTGCTCGATCCGAGTTTGGGATTTCACAAGCTACGTGGCCATGTCCAGAGGCGAGTGTAGAGGTGCAGCGCGCAGTCGCCTGTGACCAGAAGGTCTCGGGATGCGGGTTTTGGTGTGTGCGTATGCTGGACTTGGACCGTAGGCCTGGACTTATACATGGTGAGGGTTTTGCGGGATGAAGTGGCAGCAAGACTCGCACGGTTTCTCTTCCTCCGTGCAGACAGAGCTGAACTCAACTCCTGTCTCTCTGGTCACGGCCAGGATGGAATGGAGGCACGACTCGTTGACCTCTTCCACAGCACCATCCAGGCTTCCGGCTGTCCAGCGTCCAGCAGCATGCCCGCCCGCCCGCCCTATCGAAGATTTAAAGCACGATGATGAACTTGTGCACTTTTATGGCGGGTTCCGCAAAGCTATGTCACATGTGGCCCTGAATCAGTTCCACTCGAGCTCACTTTTCAACTCGGATGTATTGACGTGCTCAAAACAACGCATACTCGTTCTGCTGCATCGTGGGTGCACCCAGAAAGGCTCGGCAAACTGGAGATGTGAGTGCGAGACATGTAGTGGGTACAGCCCGGAGTTCAGCAGTTCATCGAAGCGGCCCGACATTGACAGCATGCAGGAGTAGAGAAACAGAGCAGGAGCAACGACAGCAACCGCAACAAATGACAGATAGCAGCAGCTGGACAACTAAGAACAACAACAACGTTGATGACAACCACAATGACAACAACAGCAGCCTCGATAACAGCAGCATCAACAACAATAGCAACAACAGCAGCAGCACAAACAACAGCGGCACAAACAACAGCATCATCATCAACAACAACAACAACAATAGCAACAACAGCAGCAGCACAAACGACAGCGACAAACAACAGCATCATCATCAACAACAACAATAGCATCAATAGCAGCAGCATCAACAACAGCGTCAACAACAACCACCACCACAGCCACGACCGCCACAGGAACAACCAAAACCACCGCCACAACAACCTGGACGACAGCAGCAATACTACCAGCAGCAGCAGCAGCAGCAGCAGCAGCAGCGGCAGCGTCGACTATTCTTGACGTGTTGACAATTCGCGAGAACTCTGGCATGCGGCACTTAGCAAGTCCGTCAAGTGACCGTCACAACACGCGACTACATAAGTTGTCTCTATAGACTACTCGACATCTAGGAATGGACCGAACATGCTTGATGCCACAAGAGCGTTGCGAACAGGGGTCCGAGATCCACAAATCGTGACTGATTGTGGTCAGATAAGTGAGCTTAGACGGTTAAAACCGTGATACGCGTCGCAGCAGAGGCAAAAACACCCATGCTGGCTACTGCACCCCTGAGGACCCTGTCACACGGAGGCGTTGATGAGAGAGGAAGTGTGAACCAGGAAGGGAGTAGACTTATTGCCCCGTACAGGTGGCGTTGAAGCCCTGGACATATCTCCAAGAACCTAACCCTGACACGAAGAGGAAAAACCTCAAGAGTTGGATAGGGCTCGTTTTCCTTCCAGGCCTGGCATTCACAGGAGATCAAGTGCAGCAAGCCGCGGCCTTTGAGACCCTTTCAGCGATGCTTGTGCCACGCCCCCTTTGAAGATGCCAATACGGCGAACCAGACTGCTGGTACTACCAATGTGCGACACTCCAAGCGTATCTGCGTCACGGATATTGCATGTAGCAACCATGACAGCTACACGATGACGGAGACAGCCTTCAGAACAACCGACCTATGCCAAACGTCCTGCGAAATTCAATGTTGACACTTGTCAGTTCGCATCACTCTAGCCTTACTTGAAGTGGCAGCAGTGTTCGTTCGAAGATGAAGAAGCTTCCGCAACGCTTGCACCGCACTGATAATGCCACAGGTTAGTCAAACCGACAGCCGTAGTGCTGTGCGGAAGCATTGCCATCACCGTCGTGGGCAAGAGCACAAAAAGAGCAAATAGCGAGACCTTGAAGGTTTTGGGCAAGGGGTCCATGATTTACCCGAATGAGGTGTTCGGTTGCTGGGTGTCGGTTCCGATGTAGCGAGGGCCAATGCAGCGGTGAGTGCCTCTCCTTACATCAGACCCGGGAGCTTTAGCGACCGTCAGCTCTAAACTTGCCCTAAGCGCTAAACCCTAACAGATCAACTGGGCAAATTGCCTGCACGACTTCAAAGCCTCCACGAGAAGCTGTGTATCCGATGTGTGAGCACCTTGGAGGTCCTTGATATAGACATCCCGTCAGCCTCATAGGCTTATGTTTCCATCCGAGTCCGAGCAGTAGAGAGGTGCCGTCGACTTCGCACATGTCAGATGCAGGCAAGCTGGGCTCCTTTGTGAAGGTTTTGTTGGCCACAAAAGTGCAAAGCGATGAGCTTACTCATGTGCCGAATGTCTGTCGTTTTTGTGGCTTCAGCTTTTCACCAGGGTAGCAAGCCGGTGGTGACGAGCATACGCTTCGGGGGCTACGTGTGGATCTCCTTGCCGAACGGCGCAGCAGCGATTGCTACCAAAGGATGAAAAGGGGTATCCTCCGTGGATGTATATGGCGTCTAGATAGGGCGAAGTGCAAGGCTTGTTCGTGTGTTTGCCAAACTGTTTCTATAGTATCCAGCAAGCTTGCGTGTTCTCGCTCGAACCACTTTGCTCAATCCGCAACCGCTCTCGGATTTCAATCTCGAGACAGCGAGACAGACGGACTTGAGAAATTGTGCTTGATGTCATGTGTAAGAAGGCTGAAACTCTCCGGGTTGTTTTGCATGCGAGGGCAGGGTCACCTAGTTGACGTCTCGTGCCTTGAGCCAGGACTTTTGTGAGTGCTTCGGCCGATGGCAGGCAAGGGGGCCCTGAGCAGTTGCGGATTGAATCGTGTTGTTTGTAAGGCGTTTGGAGTAAATAGTTCGTCAGAATCTATCCACCTCAATTGCCTAGTACAAGAGCCCTGCATCTTTGTCAACGGTGGCATCAAGAAAGTGACATTGTGGGCTACATATGTTTTATACTGGACGGTTGTTTCCTGCTCTTTGTCATCAGCTCAAAATACATGCCATGGTTATAGCAAAACCATCTCCAGCCAGCCTGGAATTTCCAACCCCATCTAGTCAGAGTGTCGAACTTGTTTCAGACGCCATGCAGCGGTGAGAGCGCTCTAAAAGAATTTGGACTATGCTTTCGTTCCTGAATCTCACTGCACCCCGGGTAGACTGAGTGCACTGCGCCAGAGCACCCCATACGTTGATGCAGGTGAATTTCAAGGAGTCTGACTTCCGATTGATCATTCAAATTCTGCGTTCCCTGACAGGGCCGCCAGCACCCCAGACCTTGCGTCGTGGAAAACATTCCGGGCGTTGCAGCTCATCCTGAAACCCCTGAAGCGAAAGGTAAATGCGAAAACGTGAAGCCAGATGTTTGACCCTAAACCCCGCAGCCTTGACAGTGCATCAATGCAGTTGCGGATGAGGTCGGCATTGGGAATCTTCCGACTCCTGTGCTGTTGTGTTTCAGCACATCTGCCATCAAAATGTCAATCCAACGGACGAATGCATGAGCACAACAGACTGTTGCTACGATGAAAGCAAAAGCATGATGTTAGCAACAGGGTGCGCAAGAGCGACAAGGAAGCAGCAACAGAAGCAGCAATGATCGCAACAGTGACTCACAATCTGATCCCGCAGGCCGCTTAGGGCCAACACAGGCGACTCCGGCGATACATCAGCACACCAGGCTCAAGCAAGCGCGCTTACGAAGCAGCCGAGACGAGGCATTTTGTTCTGCATTCGTTGTGTTTGAGTGAGTGCAGAAAACGCTGGTGCCGTTGTGCAGAATTTAGGGGCCAAAAGATGGCAGGGCACAGACTGAAGGGAGAAATCGATCGCTAACTTACAAAGTTAGGACCTTCTCGCTAGTATGCATGCTGCTTCAGGTTAGCATCATGCTGCGGCCACAAGCAATCGAGATCAACACATCATCCCAATAGGAGCGTATCGTGACGCAAGCAAACCAGGTAAACTGCCTTTTCCTCAGAACACTCAAAGCTCAAAGGATGGATCCAGATGTTATTGCAGTCAGAAGACCCGGCTCTGTCTCCATTTCATGTCAAATTTTGTTTAAGCATCATACAAGTAGTGCTTTGGGGGCCGGAATCTCGAACTCTTGGGCACCAAGGCACAGTCTCCACTGGCTGAGGGAGACTCTTGAGTCCCATGCGATTACCGTGCTACCGTGAGAGGGACTCCGATGGGCAGAGATTGCTTGATGGGCGGATCGGAGCTCCAACACAGCAAGCTGTGTCTTATAGCTATCATAGTATATTATGGGAATTTAGAGCATATTATATATATATATAGAGAGAGAGAGAGAGCTACTTATGTACAAATGTATAAGGAGTGAGCTTTGGAGCTCAAAAGGCAGTCCATTTAATACTGATGCATAGTTTCTGTTGTAGCCTGGTGTTGACGCTAAATGTGTTTGGCCGATCTTCCTGTCAATCTCTGATGCCTGGCGACCCTGGGGTGTGACAGCCAGGCTTGTGCAACAGTGCTCCACAAAGCAATATGATAGTCATTGTCATATTCACTAGGACTGGTACCGAGATCTTGCTGGTAGGGACCTTGGACACTTCGATGGCTTCATGGCTATCTGAACACAATGTTTAAGGTTGTCAACCACAGGATGTGTTTGGTTTAGAGTTCAGGAAGTTTATAGATTCAGGAGCAGAAGATTGATCCTTTGTGGAGGGCTGCTTTGGGGGGGGGGGAACAGCCCGCCAAGCTGAGGACGCAGGCCAACTATATCTGAGAAGGTGATAGAAGGTGCAAATCTCATCATCTCATGTGCAAGCTTCCAAGAATGCACACTTCTAGGACTCAGTGCTCGGGCATTGAAGCGCTAGTCAACCAAGACAACACGTGCAAGCTCTCTTGAGAAACTGAAAGGCGGGCGTCCTGTTCGTGGAAGTGTGCGCATTGTTTGGCGGAAGGGGTGTGCCACTGTGCAGATCACACTGTGCCGACGAAACAAGAATTGCCACTTCAGGTGCATGCAGAAGTTTTCTGCTTGTTGATTGAAATTTTGTGCAAGTGTCAGAAATGTCAAAGTGATATGTCCCGATGTTTACAAAGAGTTATTTTTGAAGCATTCCAATGTGAACACTAGATAATGTAATTTTTGACTAATCATGTCAGGGCACTGGGCATTAGAAAATCTAGGATTGTACAATGTTAGGATTGTTTGTAACGGAATATTGTTCTCTTGATTAGAATAATGAAGAAATTCAACCTGTTTATATATTTATTTATTCATATGTACCGTGTCTATTTTTTATATATCCATTAAACTATAGTTTTTCTCGATAATTATATAAGAGATGAAAATGTGCGGATATTGAGGACTCTTATTGAAATTATGAATCGTAGTTTAATATTGAATATATTATGAATAAAATATTAATAAACCTTCTGTTATTTAGT